AACCCCCCCAACTTCCTAAGCCCTAAATCCCAAACCTTAGACCATTCGGCTACGGCAGTTAGAGACCAGAGGTGATTGCAATTTGGGAAGTTTCGCCCCGTCTTCGCGAGAAGTTCTCGCAGCTGCACTTGGACATGGGGCAACGGGTTTACTTCGAACGAGCATCTACCTCTGGTATGTAGGGCGTGCTTAAACATCCGAGTCAAGACTCTCTAAAGGCCCAGTTCCCGAAAGGACTTTGAGCCGAAATCCGGAACGAGGGAACGTGGGGACTGGCTTACTGCAAGTATAGTTGTTGACTCCTGTTCCTTGTCTCGTTTCGCTATAGTCGTTTATTCTACCTTTGACTCGTCATTCGCGTCATTGGCTGGCAGTGATTCCCGTTATAAGATTTCAGTTGCGCGCCTAAGCTGCGGCTTCCCAAATCCAAGAGCAGAAGCAGGAGAAGGCACTTATTTGGTGCCAAACAGACCTGTTTGCTGACGGAGAGCAGCCATGTCGTCTCACGTTTTGCTGCTTTGGGCACATGAACCGTGTAAGGGGAAAGTATTTGTTCTGTTGCAAAGTTCAACCATGTTGGGCTTCAGCTTTTTAGATCAGTGGCCCTGGTCCCGCGCAGGTGGCTCCATGTTGATTTCGGCCTGCCAGTTCAAGCCGGAAGACCCGGAACGCCTTTACGCGTTAGCAGCGCAGCCAGCATTCCACGGCAAACCTTTGGACAAGCTGCGCTCGGCAGCACTGGAGTGCCCCAGGCCTTGGACGGATGCCCAGATGAATCGTGCCATAGAAGCGTCCCTGCTGCTTCCCAACCACAGTGAAAACATGCCGGACATTGCTCGTCACATCTGTCGCATGCGTGACTTCTTCTCTGGAGCAGTTTTCTGTGTGCCGTTGCCAGAGGGTGCAAAATGGTATCGCTTTTTGTTTGCAATGCTGAACCCCTATGCGCTGTTCTTGCATGAAGTGGAAGAAGATGTCTCCGCCTTCAGACTTGCTACGCCGCCAGGGCCGAAGTGGCAGCGACAAGCGTGGGCAGAGCCGGAATGGTGTTGGCAGTTCAATCCTGGCAACTTCGTTTCTGCCGCCGCATTGGCAGATGTTGCTCCTGAAGACATCGGCGTAGTGATGACAAGNNGAGGCACCTGCAATCGCATGCTATCTTGCAGCCGCTGCAACCCATAATCACGGCCCTGCTACCGGACATCAAGCCAGAGAAAGCCCCCGCGCCAGAACGGCGGAAGCCAATCCCGACTGCAGAAGAGCCCCTCTTACAGGAGTTCCCTTGGTTGGCTAGTATCTCAGAGCAGGAAGCCGGTTTGCCTCGCAAGCGTGCTCGGCAGAGCGCAGACGGTGGTGTCTCCGAGGAGATGGAGGCTCGAAGTGCAAGTGAGGGCGCTGCGGAGTCATCTGAAGATGAGGATGCTCAGTATGACCAACTCTTTTGCGCTTTGGAGGAGAAACGATGCGTTTTGAAGGATGACGAGTCTCTGCAGCAAGAGATGTTCCGCACGTCCTTGCTGGGAGGACGATGGCAACTTGAACGCCGAGGGCGTAGCGTGTATGGAGTGCGGATAGACGTGAAGGCCAACAGCCTTGCAAGCGAGTTCTGTGGTGCGTTCCGTCTGAACAAAAGCGCCTCCTTCGAGCAGAACGTCTACGGAGAGGTGGCAGGCAATGCTCTTGCCAAACTGTGGGGCCACAGAATCACCTTTCTAGCGACAAGGTGGGAAGCATCTGGCAAGGACCCCGGCCACTTCCCAAGAGAGTGCTTAGCAGCATACCAGCCTCCGGAGGAGCTTCGTGGTGTGTTGCAGTCGTTAACGGACAAAGCTTTACGAAGGGCCCAGCAAATCCAAGCCCTCACGCCAGCTTGACGATGCCTGTCTCACCTGGCCTGCAGAGATCTCATGCGGACAGTTCCAGGCCGAGAGAAAGAACTTGTCAAGCTGCCTGCAAGCCATTCTGTTTTCGTTTATCGAAAACTGTGATGTTAGCAAAGGACATGCTTTGCAACATCATGACGCTTGCGGCGAAATTTGCGGCGGAGTCTGTGGCGGAGTCTGCGGCGTAGTTTTGCGGCGAATTTGTTGACAGCCTGTTTGTTTACGCGGTGAAACATGCGGCGAAAGTTGCCGGCGGAGTTTTTGAAGATTACAACAGGATCAACAAAACTCCACAGAAGAATCCACCATATCCGCTGAACCTATTCCCGAGGCACGTGCGCATAGTATCTCGCCAGCACCATGTCTTCCACCGGCGAAATTTTGGGATGGAAGGTCTTTTGCTGTAAGGGCAGCGTTTTGCCTTCGAAAATGTATCGGAAAAGCCAGCAGGCCACTGGAGGTTTGGGCCCCTTGAAAGGCTCCCCCCGCCCTGTTCAAGCGCGGACTTATACTGCAAAGTCGCGAAGCCTTCCTGAAGCCTGTCCGAGTCGTTGAGGGATCGTCAGAACCTGGCAGGGGACCGTGCTAACGGCATCTTGCTAGGTGCCGAGGGGTTGTAAAGGCTCAGGTTTCGTCTGCGCCTTTGCAGGTCATGTTGTCATGAACATGCACCCGTGCGGAAGCGCTGTGACACGAGAAGGTCTGCTAGAGTCCCGGAGCCTGAAAGCCGATTTGTCCAGGAGTTGAGACGTCAAGTTCGGTGAAGTGCCACAGCTTGCCTGCTGAAAGTGTCGGTGTCTGCGCAGAAGGAAGCACGCATGCAGCTGTTGCTCAACCGGTTATTTCCTAATGCATCGGCATGAGGAAAAGACTTTTTGTTTGGGTGAGCTCCAGGTCCTTGCGTTTGAAAGGCTCAAGTTAGCAGTTTGCGTAGGTGCGCAGACCCCAGGCTGAGATCCTGAAGCCTCCCAGGGTTGCAATGGCCGACCTTTCAACGCCGAAGAAGACCAAGATGGATCTTGCTTGGGAATCCATCACCTCCTCGAAGAAGGAGCCCAGAAAGAAGATGCCAGTGAACATTCCTCAGCAGGTGAGGAAGGCCCTGACGGACAACTTCAAAGGCATGTCCTCATCCGAGCTGGACGGAGTACTGCGTAATGGACAGACGTTGCGTCAGCGGCTCGAAGCGGACAAGCTCAAAGCCCAGGCTGACCCATCTTCCATCCAGTTCGGCAAGACATACTATGCCGAATTGCGGCGGCTCTACAGCAGCAATGAGAGACCGGAGAACCTTCTCGAAGCCGACAAGTCTCTAGTGGTGCGTGAAGAGCTTCTGCTGGCAGCCACAAAGGCTCTTAAGCACCCTCCACAGCGTGCTGAGATGATGCAGCTTCTCAGCCGAATCACGGGCCTCAACCAGGCAGAGACAGTGGGAGTCTTCAGATGGCTGCTGCAGCTGAATCCAGCCTGCAGCCAAGAGCAACTTCAGTGCTCCAAAGCAGTTCTCCAGTGCATAGCCCGACTGGACTTGGCAACGAAGTTCCCGACAGAAGTGGGTATTATGAGATCCAAGATGGATGAGGTCCTGGTTCAGGCGCCGCCAGTTTGTTTGTCCAGCAGCATCCGCACGATCCGGTTTGGGCTGCTTGTGATGATTCCATCGTTTGCATGGTTGTTCGCGGGTGGTTGTCGTTTCCCGTCGACTGTTGTTTCGGGCCAGAAATCATAGCCACAACATGTCATCGTGAGAAGCTTGCGGCCGGGAGTTTTCTCGTGACAGTTCAAGAGAGGAGCGGATTAACTGTGCGCTACTGTATTGTCGCCCAGTGGACGGAGTAGGGCATGTAAGCCGTTGACTTTCGTTAACATGCCGATCACAGACACTTGTGTCGGCTCGTGCTGCAGTTGTTCCGTTGTTTGCAGCAGGACGCTGAGCAGGTGTAGCCTGCCTGGCATGCAAATTAAACAGCTGTGCGCGCAGGCCTACATCTCCGTGGCCGGTGCGAAGCAAGGTCCATCGGAATGGCTGCACACCAACCAGGCTGTGTGGCCACTGGTGCTCCCTGTGAATGCAGTCAAGAACGTCTTGGATCTGCCTGACGAGGAACCATGGAGCAAGGTGTCTGCTGATTTGAATGTGATTCTGGACAGCTCGTTGTTGGGCAGGCGATTGTTTGGATTCGCTGCAAAAGAGGTCGCTTTCCAGCAGGCTGAGGGCATTGTGTCGCAGTACGTGGAGAAGCTGCTGCACAGTGGTAGCGTGGATGAGGCGGCAGTTGCAAGGATTCGCCAAGCCGCTGTGGATGCTTTAAGCGCCATGCCCAACTCAGGTCATCTTTCGCAGAAGCGGGAAGTGAAGCTGAAATACCGTGATTGGTGGATCATCGGCAGGGTTTCGTGTCCAGCTGAGCACGTTGATTTCGGGATCCAAGCTGGACTTCGTGGATACGCAGCGGCTTCAGGTCATCTACCTGCTCTTCCAGCAGAGGAGCATCTCTGCAAAGAGCCGGCGGGTGCATCTAAGGGCAGAGTGGCACCGTGCTTCCTTCGAGACGCGACTGCAGCCCGAAAGTTTGCCTTGTCCATGGTGAATGCCGAGGAGTGCGGCAATGGTGAGGCCGTGAAGGACATGTGTTACTGCCCTTGAGACATAGGCACTCAAAGTTGTCTAGATCTGGCGCGCATGGGAGCTTCTCCTTTCCAAATATGCCACAAACCAGTAGAACTATCGTAGGAAAACTGCCCGAGAATAATCTGTTTTGTTCATAAGAGATGAAAAGTTGCATCGGACATGTTTTTTGACAATTGAAATCAACATGGTTTCTTGGTAGAAAAAACACGGAGCGGAGTTTTTGTGCTCTCCGAAGCATCACCGGGGCCGAATCTGGGTTTCATTTCCTTTTATTGCTCTTGAAAGAGATTTGGCCGTATGCGGGCTTGAAGTTTGAGACGCCTTGGCTCTTGACAGGCTTTTGGCCCGAGTCACGCTGTGAGCTTGACCTTATTCCTAAACCCACAACAAAGCTCTGGCGCGATTCTGATTGCAAGTTTAGCGTTTTTGGACTCTGAAGAAGAAAGTCGCGCTGTGAATGTTGGTATCAGGTTTTGAGTGCTTGAGGCCCCAAGTCTCAAACAAAGCTTTGGCACGAATCTGAGCTCGAAATTGTCATGCGTGGGCTGTCCAGAAACGGTTAGCCCGATTCTAGGTATCAGCTTATGCACGTCTTGGGAAGGGGGTTAGCTTGTGGTTTTTTGAGTTTCCTTCTGTTCTTTTTGTATGGTGCGCTTGTGTGGTTTGTTGCTTCGGTACAACAGTCTCTTACGAAGGACCTTTCCGAGCAGAGAGGCGGAGAGAGATACAGCGGCAGCGAGAGCGACACAGAGTGAGAGAGAGAGATAGAGGTAGAGAGGGAGAGAAAGAGAGACACAGAAATAGGGACACCATACGTAACAAAAGCTCAGTTAAAATGCCAACGGACATGCTGCTGATGCGAAATGTTGGCTTAGCGTCTAGCTTCGGAGAGCCTGTGCATCTTTCCGCCTAATTACCCCAAACCCCCTATACCTTACATCCCCACAAGCTAAACTCGTAAGCCCATGAACCCAAAAGCTTGGAAACAAGGCAGAAACACTACTACAAGCACCCGCGAAGAGCCATCACC